AAACTCTGTGATATCATATTCTATCTTATACACTTAAATATACATGCAGTTATATAGCTTAGAGCACTTTCTTTTCCTCTCTTTTGTACAATGACTATTACACATTTTGGGTTTCATTGCTCTCACGGTTCTTATTACTTTGTTGGAAGAGAGTAAAACCAAATGTGACATAACAGAACAGAATCGGTCAAGTCAAAAGGGTGGACATAATAGATAATGTGAAAACATAATACAAGGTGATCAACAATGGTTACCATAATGCCTCCCGCTATCTCTAATAGAATTGCCTATATCATTAGTTATAATACAATTGAACAAAACAGTAAAGAACAAAACCGACAAAGCCAAACCATTGGAGACATTGTAGGTCTTCAAAAGTAGATAAAAGTCAACGAGAATGGGCGTTATAATGAATCTCATTATCTTCACAGCTGATGCCTAAATTTTCGAACCTGATACTATCCAGCAAAACAGAATAGGGGAACATCAGTTAAAAACCAGATGGTGAGAGTAATACAGGGCTTTAAATCGAGGTAATGGAAAGTCAAAGTGGGTTACTATAATATATCCTGCTATTTTTTTCCTTTAATTAAAAGGATAAAAATTTTTAAAAAAGTATTAAAAAAGTAAATAATGGAGTGGAGATTGAGATAAAAGAGGGCATAACAACGAAACAGCACAGATCAAATCATAACCATTTAAGCAGAATAGTGTTTCACCACCAGATAATCCTGACCTAAAAGTAGTTACCATATTGTCTCTTTCCTTGAAATCCTTGAGTACAACTTCATATATTGTAGCATTAAGTATATCAAAACAATGTAAAACCATTTAAGAGAATGACAGCATTACAGAGTATTTAGAATCGACTAACAGAAAATGAATAATGGTTTCTGTATAATCTCCTTGTCTTTAAAAGGTTTTTGCTTATACTATTGTACATAATAAAATCCAGTACGATACAACCTATTTAGACCATTGGAGACAGAAGGACAAAAGCTAGATGAGACTTCAAAACAAGATGATACTAAATCAGTATTACCTATTAAGATGTCATTTTCTCCAAAATAGCTGTTCCTATCATCCAATCTTCTCTGCCTCATTTCTGTTGAGCTCTTATTCTGTCAGTAGCTGTCAGTTTGTCTTCTTCACTTTGTTCTCTGCTCCATTAGTCGTGGCCTCCACTATTTCTGGATTCTTTGTATTTTTTCTTTTTTTAGAATATCCTGCAATACTCTCTGTAGAGTTGAATTGGTGGTTGCAAATTCCCCCAGTTCCTCTTTATCCTGGAAGCACCTTGTTTTCCCATCAATTTCCAGGGACAGTTGTGCAGGATATCTCAATCTTGGCTGGAGATTATTATCTTTCAAAGCTTGAATTATTTCCCCGCACGCTCTTCGTGATTTGATGGTTTGTGCAGAGAAATCTGCTGTAATTCTGATGGGTGCTCCCTTGTAAGTGGTCTGTTTCTTGTCTCTGACAGCTTTTAATATTCTGTTCTTGTATTGAATTTCTGGAATTTTTATTATTATATGCCTGGGTGTTGCTCTGTTTGGGTTGTAGGTAGCTGGGGTCCTGTATGCCTCATACATCTGAGTATCTTTACCTTTTGCTAAATTAGGAAAATTCTCCTGGATTATTTCTGTGAGTAGCTTTTGTAGTTCATTTGTTTGTGTCCCTACTTCTTCTTTTATGTTCTTAATCCTTAAGTTATGGATCCTCTTATCATCTTCTTGTCTTTGTATTATTGCTGTTTGTTTCTTTGTTATTTTTAAGAAGTTTTTCATTTCATTCTCCCATATTACAATTCTGCCCTCCAGTTCAGATAGTCTGTCCTTAGTTTCTTTCAAGCTGTTATGCCAGTCTTCGATAGACTTCTTAGTTTCTTGGTAGCCCCTTTGAACCTGCTTCACGTATTCTATGCTTTCCCTGTTTTCTCCATCAAACAATTCTCCCCTCTTTTTCTGTTCTTCCATTCCACCATCTGTTTTTTCTTGGGTGGGGCTTAGCATTTCTCTAACTATTTTGCATACTTCTAGCTTCAGGTCGTTGATAACTTCATTCCTGAATTGGTCTATGAGGCTCTCTATATGGTGCTTTATGTGTATTGGTGCGGTGTCCGCTATTGCCTGTTTCTCAGAATTGGGGGCCGAGGAGCCTTTCTTGTTGCTGCCTCTTCCCATATTCTCTGTTCCTTATATATGCAAGCTTATATGAGAGGCCCAGCTTCTCTCCCTGTCAGCCACAGCCTGATCGAATTGCGCCGGTTAGGTGTTCCCACTCACCGCTGCGCACCAGGCAGCCTACGCGGGGCCCGCCCCTCCCGGCCTCCGTCAGGCTCTGCGATCTGGGTTGGGCCAGCCTACAGGGTCCGCCGGCAGCGTCACGCAGGCCAGGCACTTTTCACCAATCCCGCCTGAGAGGGGAATATGTGGCTGGAGTCGCCAGCGCGCCCTGCTCCCGCAGGACTGCTCGGGCCCAGAAAGTCCGCTGGAGTCAAACTGTGGTGGAGTGTCAGTTTCTCTCACTCACCTCGCCACAAGTCAGAACATGCCTCCCTGCCCGTTCTGTTTTCGACTCCGTTCGCAGATTGCCGTTCTCAGAGCTTCTGCATCTCTCTCCTTGCCGAGCTGATGTAGGGGCAGCCAGCCACCGCGCAGCGGGAAACCCAAATCGCGGCTTCCAATGGCGCAGGGTCCAGCCTCAGCAGCGAGACTTTTCTGTTCCTGTTTTAGCACCAGGACTGCATTCCAAGTTGGTTTCTCTCAGCCGAGTTCGTTCCTGAGTCAGCAGAGCATAACTCCACCTGCTTATGTCTCTTTAGTCCGCACCATACCTGGCTTCTGAGCCTAGTTTTTCAGAGAGCCTCTGGTAGTTGCTGTTATCTGTCCGCCATGTTCTCCCGGAAGTCCGAGTCTGTGTTTCTAAGTGTAGGAGAATATCAACTTCAAATAAGGATAATTTGAAATCTTTCTTCCTATTTGCATCCCTTTTCTTTTTCTTGCCTAAATGTTCTTGCTAATATTTTAAGTACTATATTGAACAGTAGTAGTGCGCTTTAACATCCTTGCCTCATTCTGATTTTAGAGGAAGTGCTTTTAGTTTTGCTCCATTTACAGTAATGTTGGCTATGGGATTGTCAGGCATATCTTTTACTATACCTTTAATACCTAGTTTCTTCAGGACTCTGTCATAAAGGGTTGTTGAACCTATTTATGTGGTGCATTACATGTGCTAATTTGCATGTTGAACACACTGGTACTCTTTCAGTCATGGTGTAGAATCTTTTAAATGTATTATTGAAAAGAATTTTTGCGTCTGTCTTTATGAAGGATATTGGTGTATTTTGTTGTGTCCTTCAGTTTTGGTATCAGTGTGTTATTGGCCTCTCACTGAATCTGCAGAGTTCCTTTCCTTTCTGTGTCATGAACTAATTTGAGGAGGATTGGTGTTAGTTCTTAACCAGTAAACTTGTCTGGTCCTGGGCTTTTTATGGTTAAGAGATATTACTGCTTTGATCTCAGTTGCATGTTTTTGATCTGTTTAGTAAACATAGTTACATAGTAAATAAAAATAACAAGCTCATCTTGTACCTACCTGGATCAGCCCTGGAATCAGCTGTATTTAATATAAAGTACTCTGTTGAGCAATGTTGTTAAATCACACTGAACGGCACATGGTTAGCCACCGCCTTCAGCACTCTTAAGACAATGTAAATATCCTGCTCACATAAAAATTTTATTTTAGACTTAAGAGGTGTTATTGGTTCTTTCCTAATTTAAATTCTACCATGATGTTGCAAACTGGTAATTTTTTTGGTGAGGTATGGTAGCACATGCCTGTGATTCCAGCACTGTGTATCCAGGCTGAGGCAGGAGGGTCACGGGGGCTACATAGTGAGTTCAGGGCCAGCCTGTACTGCATAGTAAGACTATCTCAAACAAACAAACAAACAAGATGATTTTCCATCACCACATTCCCTGTTCATTCATCAGCCACGCGTTAGCATTCTTCTGTAAGAACTTTCCTTCCTCCGTTAAATTATTGGTTGCTTGTAGAGAAGTCCTACCTTTTCTGTGTTTAATTCAGTACTGTAACTTTTTTTAAAACTCAAATGGTTCAGAAAGTGACCAGTGGTAGGTATCTCTTTCCTACTGACTTCTATACACTTATGCCATGGCCCATGTTTTTGTTTCATCATTGCAAGCTTGATTTATGACACAGTAAACAAATTACAAGCTCATCTTATACCTATCCTGATCCTACCTTGGAATCCATCTTTACTCCAGAGAACCCTATCGAGCATTGTTCCTAAACCACACTAAAGGCATGTGCTTAGCCAACATTAGCCAAATTCCAGAGGCAGAAGAAAGGGTAAAGTGAATGCTTGTATCATCCTGCTTTTCCCTGAAATAACTTGGAGCTGGCCTAAGAACCACTGAACTGGAGGCAACTGCTTCAAAAGAACTCTAAGAATAGAGAGCCAAGGACAGAGCTATTGGCCAACTTAGGCTACATAGTGAGTTCCTGTGCATCCTATAGCAAGACTCTCAAAAAGGGAGTGGGGTCGTAGTTTAGCAGTCCCCTGAGCTGTGTCCCCAATACCTTCCTCCAAACACAATCAGAGTCTAAAACCATAGAAAGGTAATTTTAATCATCTTAGTTTTTATGTAGAATAGAATATCTCAAGTTTTATTTCAGAGGTTTTTTCCCCCCCTTTTAGGTTGAGAAAATTAGAGTTGTACTTCATCTTTAAGAGTCCACTGTTTGTAAACTCTCCACCCTTCTACTTCTGATTATCTCTCAAGTGAATTAACTCCTTGTGCTCACTTGTAGTATCACTTTATTTCCACTATTCTGCTATCCCATGGATTTGAAGGAATAGCTAGATTTTATGTATTTCTCTTATTTTTCAACTTTTTGTTTAAGCCTTAAGTAAAAGCTTCAACTTTTTAAGTATTAATGTTTTATTTTAATTCACTCTTTGTTTATACTTTCAGGGTTACTATAATGAAAGACAAAGATACGAGAAAGAGTAAAGGGGTTGCATTTATATTGTTTTTAGACAAAGACTCTGCGCAAAACTGCACCAGAGCCATTAACAACAAACAGGTAAGCCATTCATTTGCCTCAGTGTTTTTGAGCCCCAAAGCTTTTTTGTTCATTCAGACACAAATATGTCTGAAAATATGTAAAATATGTCAAAAGGCAGGGGATGTTCAAATGTGATGACTATCAGTAAATTCAGAGAATATCTAACTTATGTCACACTTGTACTGGGTTCCCAAAACACTGGCAATATGTGAGGAAATACTGCAGGCTAGACTTTATCAGTGCTAAGTAAGGAAGTTGCTAAATTACCCACCCTACAAATGGAATTGAACATTTGTGGGAATAAGATTAAATTACTAGTTTTACATTCCAGTGAAATACGAACTTCTGCATTTACATTTTTCTCTGGTTTAGTTATTTGGTAGAGTGATAAAGGCAAGCATCGCTATTGACAATGGAAGAGCAGCTGAATTCATCCGAAGGCGAAATTACTTCGATAAATCTAAGTGTTATGAATGTGGAGTAAGTATACCTAAACCTTCAGGAAATCTTCTGCAGTTTACTTCCCGGTATTTCCCACATCTTTTATTGGTGCTCGCCAAAATTTCTAGCAGGATATCCCCAGCTTTTGAAAGTGGTTTTACTTCAAGGGTCATCTAAGTAGCTGGAATTGACATGTATTTATGAAATGCGTTGGTGTAGGCTTGCAATCCCAGATTCGTGGGAGGAGAAGGCAGTAAAAATTGCAAGTTTGATGCCAGCCTAAGCAACTTAGCAAGATCCTGTCTCAAAAATTGAAAACCTGGCACTGTTGCTCGGTAGTAAAGATGCCCAGAATTCAGTCCCTAGTACCATAACAGAAAGACAGAGACAGAAAACACAGAGAAAAGAAAACATAATTAAATGAAAGATAACCTGGGCCTTGGAAGCCAGGCATGATGGCGCATGCCTATAATTCCAGCACTTGGAAGGTTGAGACAAGACTCTCTCTGAGAGTTTGAGGCCAGCCTGAATTACACAGGAGACCCTGTTTCAAAAAAATAAAAACCAAACCAAAACAAAAAAACCTAGTCCTGAAATGTAGCTTAGAGGTGGAGAGCTTGCTTAACATGCTGAGGCCCTGGGTTCAATTTCTCAGACTACAATAACAACAGCATAGTTTTTTTTTTTTAAGGTAAATATGAAGTTATTTTTAGGTAAATATGAAATACCAATTATCACATCATATTGGCCTCTCCAAAATATGGAGTCGTATTTTTGTCTAGTTTCTAAGACTTTAAAACTCTTTTCTAAAAGGTGTTACTTACTCACTTGGGTATCTGGAAAGGTTTTAATGATTCATCAATGTCTGTCAATCTGGTGCTGCCTATTTTTGTGTCATTTGGCCAATGGCCAATGTTAACACCGTTAAGCACCATTATCATATGTCCCATCCTCTTCAACATACTAGGCATTGAATTTTGTTGTCAACATGCATTCTCACTATGTTGACCAGGTAGGTCTCAAGCTCATGGACTCAAGTGATCCTCCTGGTCTCAGCTTCCCAAATAGCTGGGATCACAGGGCATGCAACATCATATGGCTGTTTGGAATTGTTTTCCTACTAGGACTGCTGATGCTTTGTAAATGAACTGTGCCTCTGTTTTCTTATCTGATTCTTCTCATGACCTGCTGTTATCCACTCAAGGTTTCAGTGATCAGATATGCACAGCCAGAGATGAGTGTTTTTGCAGTACCCATAATGGTTCCAAGAGCATTTCAATCTGTCTCCCCCAGCTGTACCTTTCTGAAATGACTTTGTAACATACTGAAGAAATTTGAGTGCAAAGGCCAGTGGGGAGCTGGAGAGAGCATTAGTGAGAGACGTAGTCCTAGCTGCAGTCATCTAGGAAGAAATGGCCTGGCTCCCTTCCCACTGTCACTCACCCAACAAAGACTCATACACAACCAGGCACAGTATGCTGCAACCCAGCTACTGGGGACTGAGAATGCAAGGCCAGCTGAGATCCCTTCTCCAAAGAAATGATATCTGCGGACAGTGTAATCTGCGGACAGTGAAACACAGACGGCTGCAAAGAGGAGCAGACAGTGGTACAGCTGCACACTGTCAGCTCCCCTGGTGTCTAAATCCTCTTGAGAGAACGTTGTCTAAAGTATACTCCAGAGTCCTAAAGTTTTAGAAAGGAGGTGTGCTTAGCATGCACATAGCCTTGGTTCAGTCATTACCACCTAAAGAAACAAATACAAAATGAAAATATACATAAGAGTTGGGCATGGTGACACATGCCTCCCATCCTAGCAGTCAGGAGGCCATGGCAGAAGAATCTCAAGTTCAAGACCAACCTGGGATATGCAGCAAGAGCCTATCTCAACTACAACCCGAAAAAGAAAAAGAAATAACAACCCTAAAAATTGAATAAATATTAAAGGGATAAGGGGTAGTTATTTTTAGATTAAATTGTTCCTCATTCTTCATGTTCATATGAAATATTAAATTATCTGAGAATCCCTCAATAGCTTCTGGCTAACCTTTTAGAACTGTCAATGATAGAAACAGCACACTGAGGTACCTATAGGTTCACTACCAGTGCCACAGATGAATCCGTTAATTTGTTCCTTTTGTTATGGATCAATAGATTTGTCACATTGTACTTTACGTTTTTATATTTAATGTCCCTGAAAATCTGTTTACATTTATTTGACCTAGTTTTTTTCCCAAGTTATTTCCTTAGTAAACCTTTTTCAATATAGGATATGTTATCATTTTTTTTGGTATACTATTATTCCAAAACACAGTTTGGGAATTTATTATTATTACTATTATTATTATTATTATTATTTAGACTGAGGATCGAGCCCAGTATGCTATGTATCAATCTCGTGACCTTTTCCCTCAGCCTCTCAAACTGCTGGGGTGATAGGCAGGTGCCATAGCAACTGGGTGGAAAATGCATCTCTAGATACATTCTTTAACAAATATAGTATCTTTCTTTTCCTTTCCAATCCACAACAAAAGGAAAGTGGACACTTAAGTTATGCTTGTCCAAAGAATATGCTTGGAGAACGTGAACCTCCAAAGAAGAAAGAAAAAAAAAAGAAAAAGAAAACCACTGAACAGGAAGAAATGTGAGTAACTGCTCTTCCTGAGCACGTCAGTGTGCTGCTCTGTGTGTGCTGGCTGCTCACACTGCTGTTTTTCCCCACCGTGCAGTGAGGACCCAGCAGGCAGTGAAGATGAGGGGGAGGACCCTGCTCTTGACAGCCTCAGCCAGGCCATCGCATGCCAGGTACCAAGTGGGTTGTGTTGGCACAGCTGGGCTCAGACCCAAGGCCACTTGCTGCTGGGCAAGTGCTGTACCACTGACCTCTTCTTCCTTTCCTTTTCTCTTTCCCTTTTCCTTTTTCTCCTTTCTTTTGCTTTCCTTCCTTTCCCTTTTTCCTTTCCTTTCTCTCTCTTTCTCTCTTTTTTTCTGTGGTGTTGGGAATCCACACTAGAGTAAAGTGTTCTTTTATATGGTCTTGTGTGATCGTTGCCTTGGATTAAAGTTTTATAGTTTTTTAGTTCTCATGGCAACTCTGTCCCTCCCTTCATCTCCTAAGTATGAGAAGATCTAAAGGCTTCGTGTGGGGAAAATCCTCCTTTTTTTTTTTTGTTTTTTTGTTTTATGTGTCTCCTTGTGGAAAGTCAGGCTGGTTTAAACTCAATGATCCTCTTGCCTCACCCTCAAGAGGTCTGGGATTAGAGGTGCACAGCACCACACCAATGTTCAGAAATTCCCATTTGTTCTTTCTGGATTTCAAGGGTTCCATGATACTTTAAATAAAAATTTTTTTAATGCAGTAAAAAAGATTGAACCCAGGGATCTTGCATTGAACTCTATCCCTGCACCTTATCTGTTTTTGTTATAAAATTGAGAACTATATGACTAAATTGAGTTTGAAACGACCAACAAGATTTTCTAGAAACTGCCTAGGATGGGAATTTAACTCAGCGTTAAGACCTTTTCTAGCATTTATAGAGGCTCTGGTTTGATCCTGCACACAACAAAAAAAGATGTTGGCATATACCTATGATCCTGCGGTGAGGGAGACTTAAAGCAAGACTACAAATTCAAATTGCCCACCTGGGCAATTTAGTGAGAGCTTCTCGCAAAATAAAAACTAAAAAGCACTGGCGATGTAGCTCAGTGGTAGAGTGGCCTTGAGTTCAGTCCTCAGTATTGGAAAATGGTAACAGGATCATCATAATGATGAGCTGCCTCCAACAGCCAGGCATGAGGATGCATGCCTACAATCATGGCTGCTAAGGAGGCTAAAGCAGGAGGATTGAGAGTTCAAGGCCAGACTCAGTCTCATAATTTAAATATCAAGTGCAGGCATGGTGGCACACATCTGTGATCCCAGTGTACCTGGGAGGCTGAGGCAGGAGGATTGCTACGAGTTTCAAATCAGCCTGGTCTAAATATGGAGTTCAAAGTCAGCCTGACCTCAAAGCAAGACCCTGTCTCAAAAGTGAAAAAAAATAAAGAAATAGCAGGCACAACTGGTGTAGCTCAGGGGTTAGAGTGCTGGCCTTGCACCCATGCAGCCCAGCTCCATGCTCAGCTCTGCACATTGCCTGGGATGACTTGGAGCAAAATGCTGTGATGGGGACTGGACGCGGTCACAGAGGTGGCTCCCGGTCTGTGGGGACGGGGGCCAGGCATTCTTGTTGTAGTGTAATGTCACCATGCAGAAATGAGCGCATCCTAAATAAAAGCTCAGTTTGGTTTGGTGTTCTGAATCCCATTCCAGCAAGCCAAGGTGGAAGAACAAAACAAATGGAAACCCAGTGCAGGTGGCCCTTCGACCTCCGAGGACTCTCGGCGCCCAAGGATAAAGAAGAGTGCCTACTTCAGTGATGAGGAAGAACTCAGTGATTAGAGTTATGCACTGCAAACTTTGGTAAAATGAAAACCAGCTGCAGTACAAAGTGTGTGCATACAAGGGCACTGTTAACGAAATAGTGTTTTTTACTGCAAAATAGTGCACAGAAGATGAAATACAATTTTTTAAATTATTGTGTTTGGAGCTTGGCACAGTGACAACTGTGATCCCAGTTGGGAGGCTAAGGCAAGAGGACTGTAAGTTCGAGTGCAGCCTGGGCAACTCAGCAATGTAGCAAAACCCTGATTCAAACAATTTGGAAAGTTACACCGAGGACGTAGATCAGTGCGAAGGACCTGGGTTCAATCACCAGTATAAAAAACAAATCGTATTTCTACCTTGCCATGGCATAGTAGAGACTTAACATCTGTGGTCCAGAAATCCCAAATGTTCTAAAGTCCAAAACTTTGAGCACAACATGATGGCTCGAATAGATAATTCCACACCATGCAACTGTGATTGATGTGCAGCATTATGGAAATTACTGTATTTGACTGCCTCCAGGATATGTACATAGGCATATATAAAATATAAATGAATTTCATGCTTAGACTGAGGTTCCATCCCCAAAATATCACATATGTATATATTCCAAAATACTTGTGGGCCCAATTTATTTTGTTGTTCCTGTGTTTGAGACAAGATCTTCCTATGCAGTATAGGCTGGTCTTCAACTCACATCATAGTAGCCCAGGGTGGCTGAAACTGGTGGCAGTCCTCCTGCCTCAGCTTCTTGAGTGCTCAGATTAGAAGGTGCACATCTCTGCATCTGAGAGATCCCAAGTATTTTGGATAAGGGATACTCTGCCTGTATGAAAGACCAGGATTTGTTAAGAAAAACAAATACTGTGATGGTAATGCTATTTTTATTCCATAAAAGGTAAACATTAAAATGATTTATTTGAAAATTTTACTGTAAATGCTTTATTGATGTTTTACTATTTTGTAATTACTTTTAAAAGACAATCTTTAAGACAAAAACTTTATAAAAACTGAAAAAATTAGTGGTTTTTTGTTAGTAGTAATGTCAATAAATTTTTCAAATGATATTGTCTTTAAATATGGGTGCTTCATGGTCTTAATTCTTTTAGCTTTATCCCTGTCTCGAAGTATGTGAGTGATAAATATCCATAAAATATCCGAAACTGAGTATGGTGACACAGGTCCATAATCCCAGCTTTCAGGAGGCTGAGGCAGGAGAATTACTGCAAGCTCCAGCCCAACCTAGGCTACATAGTGAACTCAAGGCCAGTGTGAACTATACAAAGAAAACCTGTCTCAAAAACAAAAAAATATCAAATAGCCAGGCATGGGTGTACATACCTGTCATCCAGCATTTGGAAGGCTGAGGCAGGAGGATGACAAGAATTCCAAAGTATGTAGTATAGGCTACACAGTGAGTTCAAGGCCAACCTAAATTACAGAGCAAAACTTCATCTAAAAAAAGCAAAAATAAAACACTTTTAAAGTGGCTTTAAAAGGCTTATTACCAAACACAGTACTTACCTGTCTGCTTTGCCTGTAATCCCAAATTCTGTTGCCAGAAGCAACCACTTCCCGTTGCTTTTTTGTATATGTGCCCTGCAGTAAAATGCAGATATTTTGGTCAGTTCATAAAAGCATGGCACAGGATTTTCATCATATGCCCCCTTGCTTCCTCCATCTCCCCAAAGTGGCTATGTTACAATTTCGATTAAATCTATATCCACTGTTCAGTTTTTGTAAAAAAAAACCTTTGTAAGTACAGTTCTTTCCATTTCACGTATTCATTACATTTGTTTGTATTCATGGTCAAATCTGCCTGTAATTCCATAGTTATTTATAAAAGAGTAGGATTATGGAGTCTTTAATTTTCTACTTTGTATGTTTCTGTTACTGAACAATAATGTCCCCAGTCCTTAATAAATTTTCCTTTGGCACATAGGCTAAGTTACTGAAGCTAGCTTCATTCCTGGGTTAAAACAGCCCTCCCTGCCTCAGCTCCTCATGTAGCTGGGATCACAGGACAGCCGGGCAGCAGAGCTCCCAGGGATGTGCCAGGACAATGATGGCTGAACAGAAGCAGTTAACCAACATCACAGGCCCCTGGAGAAGGATTTCACCCCAAGCTGAAGAGATAGGAACCTAGCAGGTCACAGTAACCTAGCACAGGGGCTAATGGGCCATTGGCAGTAGTGGGGCTGTCTGTGGGTCCACACCCACCCCCCAGTACCCAGGAAGATGCCTTGACTGCGGGCTCCCAGCACTGACTCAGGACAACCCCACCACCACCCCCATCATCCTCAGATGGACACTTGGGGTTGCAACCCAGGAGTCTTTCCCAAGGCGCATATCTCCTGGTGTCTGGCAGTGCGATAGTGGCTCCTGTCCACCCCATGGGAGCACCCCAGCCTCAAGTTTGCCTCCCCACCCACGAGGGACCCACCTGGAACCCAGAGCTCAAGGCAAGTCTGAGTTGGTGCCTGATACCCTGAGATCCTCAGCCCTCACTGCCAGTATTAGCCCTGACTCTGAGACCTTATAGGGTGTCTGGTTTGGCACTGTCCTGAGCAGCCACTGAGCTGTTCCATGCCCCAGCTGCATGGCCCAGCACCCTGCACTCTGAGTCCTGACTCACATAGGCTCAACCTCACTTGGCTCTCCAGAGCCCCTGGTGTTCTGAGCTGGCCCCAAAGCCACAAGAATATCAGACATCAGGGGCTGGGGTGGGCCCAAACCACAGGAGTCTCAGCATCCAGTGCCCCACACTTTGCCTGAACCTGCGTCACTGCATCCACAGTGGCCATGCGCAGCTCATGGGAGGCTTGAACAGAGGTCCCACATGAGCCCTCAGGCTATGCAGAAGGGTAGAGGAGAAAGTGACTTGGGTCTGGGATTGCAGTTGTGCGCGACCATGGCCTGCTAATAGCACGGTTCCCTACACTTATCAGTGGACTAATCCACGGATACATACAGTGCCCCAGGTCCAATCAGCTCCCAAGATCCTGGCGTATGAGTGCATGAGCCTTTGGAGGAGCATCTAGATATTAACCAGAACAATTACAAATAGAATAAAGTACTCTACTGTATGGTGGCTTAGTGCTGACAAGTATTTAATAGAATGTTTCAAATATCTAGTATATTCTAACTTCTGAACCAGAAATTCAATTCTATGGTTTTAATCAGAAATACAGATATGATTCATAACAAAATTGTCAACAGCAAACTAGAAGCATGATATATGCAAAATGATAGGTTATTAGGAAGCATTATGTTACAAAGATTTCTTAATAATATCAAAAATCATTCTATATCAATACCACATACATACATATATGTATATATATATATATACACACACACACACACAGAAATGGGGTAAAACAGTAATGGGCTCCTTATTTTCTGAGTGTTGTTATTGTAGATGTGTTGACTAGCACTGTTGAAACCATATTATGACCTTGGGAGTTACCAGCCATTAGCTGAAGTTGATATCCAATTGATAGCATAAATATTTAAGTGAATATCTCCATTTCCCAGGCAGTTGATAGGATTGTACTCCCTGGCCTGCTTGTGAATATGTTGGGAAAGTGTCAAGTTATTGGTCAATGACTTATGAACAGAAATGTGTGTTTCTGAAACAGCATTTCATGGGTGGTAGTAGGTATTCTAGAGTTCTTTGTTCCTGCTGGCATAGTGATAAGCAATGTCCAACATGGTAGCAACTTTGTCATAGTGAGTTCTTAGGTAACTAGTGATGAGAGCTCTGTAAAGCCCCTGAATATAACTTATTTTTAGCATAGCTTTTTTTTTGTTTTGAGACAGGGTCTGGCTAGATAGTTCAGGCTGTCCTTGAACTCCTGGAAATCCTCTCTCCTGCCTCAGCCCCCATGTGCTGCAATTACAGGGATTCACCACCATGCCCCGCTAGCATAGCATTTTAAAGAAGTACCTATCACTGCAGTGAACTATAGCTCAGTGGTGGAGTGTTTGCCTGAGATGCATGGGCCCCCCAGATTTGATCCCCAGCACCATAAATGAATGAAAATAACTTAGCCAGGCTTGGTGACACATGCCTGGAATCCCTTCACTTTGTAGGCTGAGGATTGCAATTCTGTCACAGGCTGGCCAACGTAAAGAGTCCCTGTCACAAAATCAAACAAACGACACAATGAAACAATCTTCATGAACAACTGTCAGTGGGTAAAATGAACAGGGAGATTAGATTTGCAAGAATGTAGATAGAAATATTATATACTCTATAAGGGTGATAAAAAGCAGTAAAAACAAACAAAAATGGAAACAGAAAAGACCACAATAATTGCAAAACTGGATCAAGAAAAAACAAGAAGCACAAAAAATAAGCTCCCGATTTAGGAACATTCAAGCAAACTTTCACAGGTGTAATATGTTATATTCACTTTGTAGCTGTATGAACAAATCCAAATTACAAGCAGCAGAGTCTTAGGGTAAAATGTAATAGAAATAAAAACATAATAGTCAGCAACAAACGGACTCAGAGGCATTGCCCACTAAGCAAGAAGAACACTGCAGATAATAGGACATACAGAGGCTCTGGCCAACAGCTGGCTGTGCCTCAGTCAACAGCCAGCATCAACTGGCAACCTTATAAAAGAATGATCTTGGACATGAGCACATATGAGCCTTCAGAAAACTGCAGCACTGCCTGGTATCCATGCAACCACAAGACAACCAAAGCAATGGCTTCTCAGAGGAGCTCTCCCTGAAATTTTGATTTTTTTTTTGTACCAGGGATCAAACTCAGGACTGCGCGCTTGTAAGGCAGGCGCTTATGCCACTGAGCTAAATCCCCAGCCCCTCTCCCTGAAATTTTGACACATAAAATGAAATCATTATTGGCAAGGATGTGGAGAAATTGGAACCTTCACGCATTGCTAGAGAGAGAGAGAGAGACAGAGACAGAAACAGAGAGACAGAGAAAGAGAGTTTGTGAAGGATGTATCCAGGGGTCTGATGGGAATTTAAAGAAGGGCAGCCACTTTGGAAAGTAGTCTAAAAGTCTTGCATGCTATTAAACAACTGCAATAAGATTGAGCAGTTTTGCTCTTAGGTCATGAAAAAAAGAAATAAAATCATGTCCAGTCAGGCATGGTGGTGCATGTCTGGAATCCCAGCATATGAGAGATTGAGGCAGGAGGATTGCCATGAGTTGAGGCTAGCCTGGATTACAGAGTGAGACCCTATCTCAAAAAAAACAAAGCATATATCTACAAAGAAACATATATAAAATGCATTCAGCAATATTATTTTTTTTCAGCAGTATTATTGTTATAGCCAAACGTGGACACACTTAAATCCCATCAGTAGACAAGTGGATGAACAAAATTTCCTTCCTTCTTCATGCTGTCAATCATATTCAGATACTGAAACCTGTTGTGCCAGTAAGGTAAAAAGGACACCTGCCAGAGCTACAGAAATTGTCACTGGGCTGGGTCTGTGTCCATGTCTAACCAACACTGCTGCAACAAGCTTCCTGATTCCTGTTACAGAACAAGAATTTTCAGGACATGCCAGAAAGTGACATGAGCAGGATTTACAGTATTAAGCAAAGGCAGTACAAAAATATTTACTGTTAGATTTTTCTGGTGCACTAGAGAAGCAAAAGAAAGGAAAGAGTGAAAGTGGCCATTTATTTGAGGACGTGGAGAAAAGCCCACAACCCACAAGGGTTTGGCTTTTTGTCTCTGACAGGATACAGAGGTGCAGAATTATATGACCTCTGTTTGGAAGTGGCGCATGGGACGGGCATTGATGACGGGTGAGGGACTGATTGGAATTGTCTTGGTGTGCAAATGGGAAAGTAACAATTTGAGCTGAAGGGGAAAAGGAGGGAGTGGTTGTCAGGGTAAGCGTTTTCACTTTGGCCTTCCACGATGTTAGACCATCGCCATAACTTTATATTAGGGCAAAACATTTTGTTTACTATAGAGTAAAAACAGGAAACAGCCTTTATTTGAAAACAGAAAGAAATGAACCTCTCTGGGCTGTGGCAGCAGGCTCACTGGGGAGCATGACTTTTTCTTCTCCAGGCCTGCAGCT